TACTTTGGTGGTGTGCTTAATTTGTGTTAAGTAGGAGAAAGGATAAAAGATTGGGAAAACTTTCAGATGCACCAAGACAATAGAACAAGCACGACACAGGATAAGAGCTGCAGAGGGCAATTTTAGGAGAGATACCTGGAAGTATTTCTTGACCCACACCGTAATTAATGACTGGAACAGGTTGTCAGGAAAGGTGGGTTAGATCAGACCCTGGACTCATTTAAAAATAAGCTAGATGCTATGATGGGAAGATGGTAGGATGGGTATTCTGGAATGATGACATCAAATAGGCCAAAGAATCTTCAACCAAACCCATCTTGTTATCTTGTAAAAAAATCTTGAGTATCCTTACTTCACCATTTATTATAAAGCCAGTAAGTCTTGTAAATTATCTGAGACTCTGAACCATGTGCTGAGAACCTGTGCAATTGTTTTCCACTCAAAGTCTCAGCTTCTGATCTCTTTGGTATTCCATTGGGAGGATTAGATGACAAGTGAGGTTCAGGTAACGATGGCACTTTGGTCTTTTTTAACTTCATCCTTGCAGAATGCGAACCATATTGTCATCCCATTACAACTTGAAGTTGCTTCTTAAATGAGTCCATTGTCCTATCCTCATCCACTTTTCCTGTTAGCTCGTGTCCAGCTTGTCTTCTCTGCAGGGATCTGTACCCTGCAGGCCCTGTACATGAAGGTTTTGTCTTTGTGAGAAAGTCGAATATTTGGTGAAACTTTTGTTTGCTGCAGATCAAGGGTCAAATGAGGCTGATGACATTTCCATAGCAACAATATCCCACACAAGTCACAAATGTATTTTGAAGCATTTGCTTCATCACACTGAGGTGTTATCAAGCCAACATAGGTTGCAAAATGTAAAGCAAAATCTCTCTCAAAAGAATGAGCAACCCTCTTTTCCAGATGGTATGCACTGAATCATGCAAGCCTATTAAGGCATGTCACACACTGTAGTGCTCAAGTGCGGAGCTCATAAAGTGTGGGTCAGTGCTTTTAAATGGAGGAGTTATTGGTAGCAAAGAGTCCAGTTTGTTAATGTAAAGTTGTAAAACATAATGTTGTAAACTTTGAGAGCCCCTGGACTGTTACCATAAGAAAGTGTATTCTGTGAAGCGCTTTGAGACATCTAGAAGATGTGATAAGGCGCCATGTCAAATGCAAGAATTATTATATTATTATTATTAACCACAAGAAGCCTAATGAGCCAAAGCAAATACTGTAGTTTGCTTTGAAATATTAGTGTACTTTTTTTTAAATGTCACAAAGGGATGAGAACAGATTATCCGAACTTGAATATCATTTTAACTATAATTACATTTATATAAATAACACTGACACCAATCCTGTCCAATAATGTGTATTTGAAAAATCTTTTTGGTAAAACTGAAAGATGGTAAGTGGTAAGAATTCTCCCATAAGTTTACCCAAAAGACATCATCATAGGCAGTAATGACATTACATAGTGGAATCCTTTCAGAGCACGAGCAAACTTACGTAGGTTTGTAGGTTTACAATGGAATTTCATGATCATCTCTTTTACACTGATTAAGATTATTATAATTTAATAGCGGTTCATCGAAATCAGATCATAAAATGTCCCAAATGCCGTGGATGCCCTTTAAAATGACTTGTATTGACTTATCAATATGAATGAAAGCGTTAATGTAATAACGTTATAAAATCACTGATCGAATTTATGAAAAAATGAATGTAATGAGGCCATAACAACACTGATCGAATTTATCCTTGTTTTAGTATAGTTCTTCTGATGGCTCAGTTGGTAAAGCATGAAAGCATGAAATTGAACCACGCAAACCAAGGTCATCCCACTTTCCATTTATCTGTTATCGGATGATCTCTGTTATAATGTATGGTTGTATTGACAGGATCAGACTCGGCTGTTAACCTTTGACCTTTTCCTCTTGTTCAATGTTTGAACTTTCTGAGGGGATTGGAGAAAACTCTAGGAAAGAAGACTAAAACGGAGGAATTGTAAAACACTTGCACTTAAAAATTGCTTTATTTTTCTGTAAGATTCAAGCCAGAAAAATTCTGCCCCCAATTTTTTTTATCACTAGAAATAGACGAAAATCCCGAATAATGGAAAGTAGAAGAAATAAAATAATTCAGCTGCAACAATTAACCACTATTTTAATTATCAGAATCAACCCAAGTGTTTTTCTCCACTCTGCTAGTAAACCAAGTCAGAAGATGTCCACTTCCACATGGTGCAAGCTTGGTTAAGCCATCCCACATTTGGGTTTTTGCTTGCTTGCTGGTGGAATGATTTATAAAATTACAAAATTGTTCTTAGGCATTGATACCAAAGCATCCAAGATTGAGGGATGTCAACATGGGTGGAAATTTTTTGCAGAGTAACTGAGGATTGCATCAATAATATATGATGTGCCAAAACTGCAGTCCAACATAAAGCTGCAGGCCATCATGCCGATATCTGAACAGAAAAATTTCCAGCGAGGATACAGGAAAGGGTAGCTCTGTATCATGTCTGAAGAACACAAATCTCACATCTCTCTCATTGTAGTAGTTCAGATGAGTGTTAGAAATCCATGTTCTGTTCAACTATTTTAAGTACTGCATTATAAGCGTAATTAAGTACTGTATAATGTGGATTGCAAGAATTCAATATATACGTATTAATATATAATATTCTTGAAAGCTTATATAAATGTTTCCTGTTCACAATAGGTTGGGTTTGGATAACTTCAATAGTCTTCTTGTATCTCCATAGATAATTCAAGTTCAGATACCATTGGGATGAAAGCTATGTGTCACACATCTTTCTACCACGCTGAATTCAGATTTTTATTGTTGAAAGCTTGATAAAAATATCAAAACGTAGCACAATGGCTATTGAAAATGATCATGTAGAGTTTGGATTTGTGAAAACATACGTCTGTATCTGGGATTTGGTAGCGCAACTGATTGCATTGAGGAGTTATGGCATAATGACTGATCTGCAGGATAGTGACAATTTGTTTAAATGAATTGTGTTGCAACAATACCATTTAGAAATTAGTTTCTCGTATCTACATGGGCACAGAAGCAGGGCATTCAGCCCAACTAGCATGTGCTTCATTTAGCAAGAGCTTATGTCCTTATTTGCCACTTGTTTGATCAACTTGCTGGTCTTTAACCATCTTATGGCTGCGGCCTTCATGAAATCATGTTGAAAGAAATGTTGGGCCATTGTACAGTGGGGTTCAACATGAGTAAGAAATTAAAACTAAGGATTCTTCTTCTCATGTGTTAAATCAGTAGACACAAAACATGCATAATATTGCTAGAATTTGAACAACCTATTGTTATTTATCTACTTCACACTTATTACATGATTAAGTTTTAAGCTGAATATTTTCACTGTTGACTTAAGTTGCATTGTAGCACTTTAAAATTGCTTTCATTCCATCTGATTTTCTTTACGACATTTATATGGTTTAAGTTTAAATGTAGTGTAATGATAATAACTGCATTCAACTTCCAAAACTTTTACAATTACCAATATTTACAATTGCCAATATTTTCCCAGTTCCCATAAAAGCTTTGCGAATCACCTGAAGTAGAAAGCTCCTATTATTCTTTTTTTTTATCATGTGCCTTTATCTTTAGCAATAGCTTTTTCTCTTGAACTTTATGGTGCAAGTCAGTTTCTCAAAACCTTTGCAGATATCCACAGGGCAGTGACAACTGAATCACCAAAGTGTTTAAGAATAAAGCTCAAGAGTTGCCCAAATGGGCGACAAGATCAACCGTACATCAGTGGCCATTGTTGAAAAACACATTTGAGCTGAAATTCCAGTTGAAATTCCGCTCTGAGTTAATCTACGAGTTCCAGTTGACATCATCACTTCAATTATCCTTCACCTTGATAGCTCCAAACTAAACCATGAGCCTCTATTGGGCTAAAATTCTGTTGGTGTTATGCGTAGCTCCTTTGGCGATGTCAATTGTGACAGAGAAATCCTTTTAGCAGTCAACATTGCCAAAGGCGCTAAGTCTAATGTCAATTCCAGCCCATTTGGAGTTTATGGATTAGTTTGGAGCTACCAAGATGATAGGTAATTTGAGAGATGATGGCAGCCTGTAACTAAAGCTTCCCACTGGGGGTTATTATCACAAACTAATCCCCTAAGATTGACATTCGTTTCATTACAGGTTTATAAAAAGAAATCTCATTGACTTGCGGAAAGTTAACAGGAAAGTCTCCATGTGTGTACCATTTCATCACCCTTGTACCACTAATTATTAAATACTAACGCTTTTACTTAAGACTTTTTGGTGAGATTTAGAAATCAAGAGAGATTGATTTCTGATCCAATAGTTGATTCCATTTGCATCTTTGAAACTCTGTCACAAGCTGAGTTGGAACATTATGGGAGGAGAAATCTTTCTATCTACATCCAGTTTTCAGTGCGTATCTTTGTGCTGGAGAGGCGGACTGTAAATATCTGTGACTGTTTGGGCTAAACAAAATCGAATAGTGCAAAGATGAACAATTATAGAGTAAAGAATGGTACAGGAAGCCTGAAGCCTAAAATCTTCAGATTCATCAAATTAATTTGCTAATTGGAGTGATGCAACAACATCTGATTCAAGTGGTTGCTGTTCTGAATTTGGTTGCAACTCAGGTCTTGCATGTAAATATGACATACAATACCTACCTTGTTTAGAACCATACGGCTAGTAAATGAAGCTCAGCAGCCCAGTCATAAAAGTAAATTGACCTTAATAACTAGACAATTAAGATAATTATACTTAATAGGTACTCTGGTAAATGCTCTGTTTCTGCAATGAACAAATAAAATGTAAGCTGTCCAATTTGTTTTATTCTGTTTGTCCATGTAAGAGTTTATTATGACTCTGTTCAGGGATCAATAATGCCCATTGATATCCTGTAGCCCACGGCCCTGTCGGCTGTCTATCATTACAATCAAGCTGATCTGTTTTTCTAACTTCTCTTCCAGCTTCTATTGTGATTCAGAAATGGTGGTGCCATATGCATCCGTGTCTGGATGGCGAGGAGTGTAAGGTTCTACCAGATCTTTCAGGTTGGTCGTGCAGCAGTGGCAACAAGGTCAAAACCACCAAGGCAAGTAAAATAGTCTTGAACAGACAGTCTTGCAGTAAACTATCTTAAAGTCCAGAACATTAAAAAGTTCAGTTCATTCCTGTTCTCTTAAAGGTTCTGCCCCATTTACTGAAATGGTAACAAAACAAGGCTGTCATTCTTCTGCACTGTTTGTAGATGAAGCGATGTGAGGCGTCAAGATGTTCCCGGCTTTATTTCTTGCATGAATAATTTATTCAGTCTCATTTGTGACACTGGCTAGCTTTCCAAAAAGAATCTGTGTAAAACAAATGATGTGAACATATGCCTCAGTAAAAAATGTTAGCGTTGTTAAAAGTAAAGTTTTAACGTGGAAATTTTAAAAGCCATCAAAAGTTAGAACATGCTATAATTAATTAGAAAATTTGCATAAATGGTCCAAATTTTCTTGAGGGTACAGTTAATTTCGACCAAGAAGCACAGAGATAATTGGTGTTCAAAAACAAAGGATGTCCTTATGGATGTTGTTTTGTATCAGAAGAGATTGCAAATTTATATGATGCAATGATTATTTATAGGAATTATAAAAACGACTTGAATTTATATAGCACCCTTCACATAGGAGTGTTTCAGAGTGCTTTGCAGTGTTAGATACCGAGCAAGGGAGAAGTGTGTAAGAGAGGTGACCAAAAACGCGGTCGAAGAGGTAGGTTTTAAGGTGGGTGGGAGAGGGGGCATGGGGGTGAGCGGTGAGATGGAGGGACAAAAGTAGAGCATTCTAGAGGTTGGGGTGTAGTGACTGAAAGTTTGGCCAGTGATGAGGTCAAGGATAGGGAGGGGGTTGCGAATTTTAAAAATGTATCTATAATTATAATCCTCTGTAACCTTTGTTATTCTTAGTTGAATACACTATTCACTGTCTATGTGTAAAAACCTCATTATGGTTTTAATCTTATATATTTCCAGGTGATTTGGCTTTTTTTTCTCTCCAAACTTGTATGTTGCTGGGCCTTTTGTTGTTCCCTGAGAATTCTGATGGACAAGCATCTTATTCTTTGCTCAAAGCCCAATGAAGCTATTGAGGATGACACCATTACAGTGAATCGTGTAGTAAATCGGAGAAATTTCTGTGCATTCCAGAGCGCTGTACAACACAAACTTTGAGCACTCAGCCTCTTCCGTCCAGATTCCGGCTCAAGGCTTAAAAAAAATAAAAAATAAACACCCAGAAATTCAATACAGTAGAACATAAGTAAGGATAGGACAAGTAAAGGCTGCTTGACCCGTCAAGTCTACTCCAACCTAGTTCTTGCACTTCAACACGGTCCGCTATATCTGCTCTTTGTTCCCCACTCTAAAAGCACAATAATCATTGTCTTTGGAGTAGTTGTCTTTATCTACCCGTGTATCAACCTCTTACCTCTAAATTTGGTCATCCTCCCGATGTGAAAGGCGCTTTACAAATGTAATTTTATTGTTGTTGTTGTTGTAAATTAGAAGGTTGTGGGTTCAAGTGCCACGTCAGTTTATTGATCTTACGGTCGAGGTTGACACTTCAATGCAGTACTGGGGGAGAGTTGCAAAGTTCAAGGTGCTGTCCTTCATATGAGGCCATAAACCAAGGCATGTCTGCTTGTTCAGGCGGACGTTAAAGATCCATTATTTGGAAAGAGAAGGGAACTTCTCTCAGTACAGCAATCCTCCAGGTAAAAAAAAATCACCCACTTGATGGCTTTGTGGGATATTGGATATAGTGCAAATTGGCTGTACCTTTTCCTACAAAGAAAAGGTCACTATACTTGAAATGTTTTGGGATGTTTCAGAGTGATATGTCAAATGCAAGAGTTATTATCCTTCGAAGCAATTGCCAAATAGACAACTAGATATTATTTTTAAAAGGAGTTGAGCAATACAGAGAATTCTGCTTTTGTAAAGAGTCTGTTCCATGCAGCCACTATTTTGATTTCTGGCAATCATAATCAATGCGCTCTAACATTTGAAAGTCAACAGTGTAAAGGCCAGATTTTGCCTGGACCACAACCTTTAAGTGGGAGGAACTTTGCTGTCAGAAAACAACAAGCAATATAAACAATGACATTTCCGTTGCCAGGAATTTGCAAGTGTCTCATTATGATACCAGAATCTCCCAATAATAGACTCTTGGAAACATCTACTCAACATCCAATGGTCTCTCAGGCTACTGTCTCTTTTCATGCTTGTCTGCCTGATTTGCAGGTTTAGTGGAAGTGACCCCTATGTAGTAATCACATCCTTGGGTTGTATTATAGGCAAATGTACTTTTTTTCTGCTTCTCATACAAGTAATAATATAGGTGTCTCATTGACAAACTGAATGCCCATCATGACCTGTTCCTCATACCAGTATTCCCCTACATCTCTCTGTACAGATTTTGGCAGAGTGCATTTGCCATGATATTTTTGTCCTGATATGTTCAGAGTAGATTCCTTAGACTCTATGAGAGTGTCACTTTGAAAGGTTGAAGTGCAGACTACTAGCGAATGAGAGAGAAAATCACCTTCAACCGCTCGCACTCATCGGTGGTTCCACTCAACATTCCTGGAAATCGTTGGGCTGCGATTGTGGTTGGCAATGTGTGTTGCGATTTTTGACAACGTGCGATGATAATGGGGAATCCCATTTGAGGCTGACATAGGCAATGCCACCAGAAGGAACTCATGACCAGAATTTCAACCGACAGATGTTGTCCGTTGTGGGGGGAGGCGTAAAGGGAAATTGGTGCGTGGAATCAATCATGAATCTAGAAATATCCAAAGGTACTTAACGTTAATGAGATTTGGGCAGGAATCAGTAAGTTACAAGGGTCCAAATTAGAATTTATTGAAGCCTGAAATCATTCTACGTTGAAATAATAGTGGACTGATCCCTATCCATAAATTTCTCAAATCCAACCTTAATTTACACTGATATTTATGCTGTAGTCAGCTGAAGAAGAAAAGGATAACACTGTGTTGAAAGCCCTTCGACCCATCTGAGCTCGTCCCTCAAGAACACCCACACTATCTCTTCCCATCACAGCATCTAAATGAGTAGTGCTTTTTAAATGAGTAGTGTGCTGGCTTCAACAAGCCACCCTGGCAACCTATCCCAGTGCTTCATTTTGATCAGTTATTTCCCCTTGGTAACACCCAGCTCGAAACGAAGGATAGCATGACCTAAAATTCTGTTCTTCGCTACATGGTGATGCACATCTGCCACTGCCACACTTCCAGCTGTGTTATAATTTTCTCCTTCAGCTGACTACAGTGTAAATTAAGGTTGAATTCGAGAAACATGCTGTTTGGTGAGCAGTCAAAACCATGGAGGCTCTTCTCCTTGGTGTCTGTAAATTGTCAGTAATGGGATTTCCCATTATAAGCATTCACTCTGAAAGGATGAGGAAGAATAACCCTCCTTGTGCTATTTGCTTTCTTTACTGGTTGCGAGCATGAAAATGAAAGTATTATTATTTCAAGATCCAATCCAAGGAAAAAAATGACAAAAGTAATGTGTATGTTAATTAACATCACTGCAACTAGGTCAGGTTTGTTCAGCTGGCAAGCAGGCAGGCATCAGGAACATGATTTGGGGGTACAGAAACTGTCCAAATACATTTTAAATATGCACAGAAATGGTGATTAACACTGTTGTGTGCAGTCCTAGTGGACAGACTTGCAATCTGCTGCTTGTAGCCATTATCTCGTAAAATTAGATCAATGTCAAACGATGCCTTTGAACAACTAGGTTGTAATCTGGGGAAAAAAATGTGCGGATTAATTAGCTAAATCAGGTTAACTGGGATTTGGGAGTGCCGTTCAGTAGGAAAGCTCACTGCACTGTGTTAGCAATCTCATTTTATTGAAAGCCATTACAACATGAAAATGAGGCATAAATGAGCTTTTAGTAAATGGTGGGTGGAGAGCAGGTGCACTGTATACACAAGTGAAATGATAACACATACATTCGTGAGCAGGAAAAACCAGGTCAGTCGCAGAATGAGGAGATGTAAGGCAGATACAGAGCAATGAATGCTGAAGTTGTGAAGACATAATTTGAAATCGACATCTGTTTCACTATTTGCATTATGGTGAGAGAAAATAAAATCGAACAGTAAAATTAGATTCCAGTAGGAGTTTAAATTATGGAAATCTAGGACAAACTGCCCTCCGACATTGTTGAATTATCAAATCAGCAGCAGGTAGAATAGATTAAATAAAACAATTTGTCTTCACAGGTTGTCTTAAGGTATGCAGGGATTTGCCTAGGATTCGATTGATGTGAACCCTCATGCCCTCGCTATTGCTTATTATTCTCTCAGAAGAAACCATCTTTTACTCAGAGAATTGAAACACCACATTTTATTTAGATAAAAAAAGAGTTAGGACTCAACACTGTATTTCAGCCTGGCTTGGTTGGCAGCACTCTTGACTCTGAGTCAGAGCTTATGGGTTCAAGCCCTACGTCAGGACTTAAACTTACATAGTCTAGGCTGACATTGCAATGCAGTGTTGGGGTGCGGAGGGAAGTGGGTTGCATTGCGCTCATGGTGCCGTCCTTTGGATGACATGATAACAAAGGTCTTGTCTGCCTGTTCAGATGGACATGAAAGATCCCATGGCACTATTCGAAGAGAGAAGGGAGTTTCTCCTGTTCTGCTAGCCAACAATCCCCCAAATAAAATACGTCATTCATTTTATGCCTGGTTCTGGGACATTGGTATGTGCGATTGGATTGATTATTATTATTATCATTATTAATATTGTTGTTGTTGTCACGATAAGTGGTTTGTTCAGGTTAGTGATCAGCAGGTAATAAGTGGGAGAAGAGCATGTTTAATGAAGATTTTTAGTCCAAGAAATGCAGATATTTGTGAATGTCCAATACCAAAAATATTGAATACCAATGAATTGTCAAATTGTAAGCTATTTTTGTGCATTCCCATAGGTGTTTCATTAAAATATTGACAATATTTATTTTCAGTATTCACAACTTCCTGTTTTTGCAACATATAACTATTTGGAGTCCTGTCGCTCAGTGGTTAGAGCACTCGTTTTGCAAGCGAGAGACCTGAGTTCAATTCCAGGCAGGGCGAAACCTTGGGCAAGTTTCCTTACTCCACACAGAGCCTAATAATAATCCCTCCAAAACCCAAAACAATAATAAAATTGGTCATTTTCAATCTACGATTGTTTGTGGGACATTGCTGTGCGCAATTGGCTGCCGCATTGGCCCACAAATATACAGTCAATTCACTTTACAGTGTGTTCTGTGAAGCACTTTGGGATGTCCTCCCGATGTGAAAAGCGCTATATTAAATGCAAGGATTATTATTATAGGATTATTTAAAGGAGAAAAATGCAATGACAACAATTACATTTGTAGAGTGCCTTTCACATCGGGAGGACATCCCAGGGCGCTGAATAGTCAGCGGTCAGGATCCGGGCATGGGAGAGGGGTGGATAGTAGGGGTAAGGGAAGGCAGAGAGGTGGGAGGGCGACTGAAGGCACGATCGAAGAGGAGGGTCTTGAGACCGGCCTTGAAAGAGGCAAGGGAGGAATCAAGGCGAAGGCACTGTGGGATAGAGTTCCAGAGTATGGGGGCAGAGAGGCTGAAAGCCCAGCCATCAATGGTAGGGTGGGTCGGGCAGGAAACATGGAGCAGGTCGGAGCCCGCTGAACGGAGGGAGCGGGCAGGTTGGTAGGGAGTCAGCAGGTCAGAGAGATAGGAGGGGCAAGGCCATTGACGGCCTTGAAAGTGAGGATGAGGATCTTGAATTCAATCCTCTCTGGGATGGGGAGCCAGTGGATAAGGCAACTAAATACTTGAAGTTTTGTTCGGCTAAATGTGCAGAGCAGTTAAATGACATTGGCATCCACCGTGTGGCGATTATTAATGAGAATCTTTCCTATCACCTCTGAGTTGCAAATAGGGATTCTGCTGCTGGTGTGTGG